GTAAAATAAATGCTAGGAGTGTATTTAAATAAGGGGGTAATGATTTCCTGTATCTGACCTTGTGGCAGTAAGTCTGAGGCTGACGTTCGAGAAACTGTTCAAGCAGCATGCCCAGTAAATGATGCAGAGGATGGTCAAGATCCCTGTATCATCCATTATGCATCAGCAAACCCTGTCATCCGCATAGCTCCTTAAGGATTCGATACGTTACACAGGGTAGTAGAAGTGTGATCAGCTGATGAAGATTTTCTGTAAGATTTATTCTAAAGTTGACTTGACAAGACTTGCAAAAAAGAAGGCATTTCAACTTGCATAAAAAACAATAAACAGCAAAAATTGACTTTTTCACATGACAATAGGCTGCCAGTCAACCCGGGGAGGGTTAATGGATATGTGAAGGTTGGCTAGGATTTGACAGAAGAAGAATTTTGTGTTCTTGTTACTGTTGCTTGGTTTTTAAATGGTTTTTTTTCTTTTGGAAAGTTTTGACCTCCTAGAACTGTTTTTAGTTCAGAACAATGCAGAAACGGTCTGAAAAAGAAGTTAAAACCCAACCACAAAGTACACAAGGTAGATCACAGTTGTTTAACTGTAGCAGGTGGATTACAACAGGAGAGGACGTACACCTGAAATACTACACTGCCCACAACAACTCCATTTGATTAATGACAGTGGAGGTATAAGCAAAAAAGGCCTCACACATGAACAAAATCCTCTAGCGTTAATCTGTGTCCCTGTTGTGTGTCTCAGTTTTCAGCCCTGTACATCGTCTCATTTGTCGTCATCACCGTGGGTTTTATCATGTTCAACGCTGTCCCAACATACTCAGTTTTACCCGAAGAGCCTACTGAAGCATCTGATGACCCCGAGGCTCAAAGCTCCTCAGACCAGCTGCTGCTGTCTGCAGACAATGACACTCAGAGAACCGAGACACTCACAGCCAACGATACACCATGACTGAAGAATGACATCTTTTTTTTCCTACTGTAGGTCAGTGGATAAAGGCCAGTTTTACTCTTTTTACTTCAATATTGTTACAGAAGTTGAGCTTTTATGCACTAAGCCAGAGACTACCTGTGTGTGCTCAGTTCAAAATAGATGAAGAGAGATTGAGAGGTCAAAAAACCGTGTGGCTCCACTCTCTTCTTGCCAAACTTCCTGTCTGCAGCAGACTATCAGAATAAAAGTATACATTTTAAGCACAAGAAATCAGACTGCATCTAGGGTCCTACAGTTGTATTGCCACATTTTCATTAATGCTGTAGCATTTTTATAGAATATTGCCTGTTGCTTCCCTTGAAGTTGTCAGAGTTTTACAAAAAGGACCTATTGTGTCTATTTTCAGTTCCATGTTTTTATTCTTTAGCTTGGTGTGATCCACAGTTCAGAATCATCCTTTTTTTAAATCTTATTGTGGGCGTTAGCACAATGCTGTATAAATGAAATTGGATTAAACTGAATAGCACAGCCCTTCACTTCATCCACTGTCTAAAACAAAGTGTTTAGGCTCCTCCCCATTTAAGCCAATTTTCTTCTGATTGGCTGCCCCTCAGAAACAAAGTTCTAACAACTGGTAGGCGGAGCTTCTGTATTCAGAGTCTTTGTAGTGTACCTGGGATCACCATGTTAGGAGTACCTCCTCTGATAAACAGAGCCTTAATTTAGACTTTAGTTATTTTTAATTTGAGCATATTAACAGAATATCATCACAGACAAAAGGAAAGCATAATAGGTCCCCTGTAAGATTTATTTTTGCGGTTTTCTCCTTTATTTAATAAACAGAGAAAAGGGGTTAAAGAGGGTGGGTCAGTTGACGTCAACTTTCACTCCCCCTGCTGTTTATTGTTTGATTATTGATTTTTGTTTGTTTTCTTTTTTGTTTTATAAAATGTCACCATATTTCATGTTTTGTTTTTGTTGTTTCTTCACCTCTACAGTCTACAGTTTTACATTCCTCTGAGTTACATGGCTGCATGCAGACAAATGACTTAGCTCATTTAGTTGTCTCCTCTGGTGCTGTTACAGTTTTTATACTCATGTCATTTGGCAATCTACAAACTGCATCATGGCTTTCTTGCACCCAGAGTTTTACTTTTTTACTATTAAAATATTTTTTGAAATTTTCTTTGTTCTTGTCTTTTCTCGGTTACTTTACTTTAAAATGATTTTACAGAAATGAAAACATGTAAGTCTATCTCAGTCCTGCATTAGACAAATGATGTGTGGATATTCTATCTCTTGATTATGCACTCACTGCCCTCTTGTTTAGGTATATTTGTTCCCATCTGCGGAAGTATCCAATCAGCCAAGCACATGACAGCAACTCAACCCATTTAGGGATGTAGACAGGGTCAGGACAACCAAGTTCAAACCCAGCATCAGAGTAGGGAAGAAGGGTGATTTAAGGGATGTTAAACACCACATGGTTGCTGGTCTCTCGTGGGCTGATCTGAGTATTTCAGGAAATGCTGATCTCCTGAGATTTGTTTTCCACACAACCAGCAAAAGGTTTACAGAGTCCAAAAAACAAATATTAAGTGAGTGGAACCTTAGTGGGAGAAAATGCCCCACTGATATCAGATATCTGCTTCCAGATGATAAGAACAGTTACTCAAATAACCTCTTGTTACAACCAAGGTATACAGAAGAGCAAAGCACATCAGACCTTGAAGCAGGTGGGGTACAGCAGTAGAAGACAGCACTGTGCCACTGGAGGCTGGAGTTCATATAGGCTCACAAAAATGGGAGAATAGAAGACTGGTAGGGTCAGAATTCAGTCATCAAATCTCAATTGATAAAGTACTGTACCTTTGGGATGTGGTGGAACAGGAGATTTGCATCAGGGATGTGCAGCCAAAATATTTTCAGCAATTATGTGATGCTAATCATGTTAATATGACCCAAAGTCTTTAAGGAATGTTTCTGCCTTGAATTCTGAAAGCAAAGGGCAGTTCAGTTGGGTTCTAGCAAAGTGCACCTAATAAAGTGGCTGGTGAATGTAATTTAACAAGAATGTGTGTGTGTGAAATATGATGTGGAAATATGACACGTGCTATAATTTTGCACATGATATAGGAAAGTTGATCTGGTTATGTATTCAGTTTAACCAGAACAAGAGTCCTTAACTATGTCATGACCTTAATTAGTAAACAGTAACATGGAAGCATACTGATCAGGCATAACATTATGACCACTGACAGGTGACGTGAACAGCACTGATTATCTTGTCACCATTGCACCTATATGTGGATGTTACTTTGACATGTACCTCCTACCTAAGCATTGTTCCAGACCACGTACACCTCTTCACGGAACCTGCACTCCCTGATGGCTGTGGCCTCTTTCAGGAGGATAATGCACCCTGCCACAAAGTGAAATGGTTCAGGAATAGTTTGAAGGCAACGGCAGTATCCAGTTTGAGGTGTTGACTTGGCCTCCAAATTCCCCAGATCAAAATCCAATAAGGGATAGAAGTCCAACCCATGGAAGCCCCACCTCACAACTTACAGGACGTAAAGAAGACTTAGCAACACGAAACCCAAATGATATTGTACTGTGGTGGTTCTCAGTCCAAGACAAATACAGATGTAAAGATACAGAGCACAGCAAACAATCAAAAATATTTTGGTGTGTATGTATTCTATTTGAATAAAAACAGCAAATGTATTGAGATGTTATTGTTAATTAATTTATTAGAAAAAAGTACATAATTAAAAAAAACTTGTTTATCTATAATTTAGCTTTTTCCTGTTTTGCTCATCACTGGTTATAGCATGAGATGGTACCTGCAGCAGGAGATAGGCTGTCACACAAGGAGACAAAAGGGCTGCAGAAGGACATCAACTATCAATCAATCTGCTGCTTTGTGCAAGGAGGAAGAAGGGTAGCACTGCTGGAGCCCTACAAAATGACTTCCAGTGATATGCTCATGTGTATGTATCTGATCAGATTGTCACTCTATTAGGGTGAAATGATGGCCTGACATCATTAGTTGGACTTAGTGTTCATAGCCCACCACTGAAGAGCTTGACTGGCATTATCCAGAGAGCACCAGAACCTTCAGGTCCACCACCGATGTCCCATTCCCTTCACCGATGAGAGCAGGTTCACACTGAGCACATGTGGCAGACAGAAGAGTCTGGAAACACCGTGGTGAACATCATGCTGCATGCAGTTTCATCCAGTGTGATTGGTCTGGCAGTGGATCAGTGGGAAAGGCAAACTCATGGCAAATGCCAAGCTGAATCATCACAGGATCATGCAGCTTAGAGATGAAATGAATCCTGTGAAGCCACCATTGGCAATAACCCTAACCCTATGTTATCCTAATATGTATTTTTTTTAATTGTTCATACAAGTCTTTAAAAAAAGCCTTTTTTGCTTTTATCCAAAACATAGGATAATGACCAATGATGACTCAGACCACAGAAGGTTAATGAATCTCTACACTACAAGATATTAAAGTGGTCCTATTACACGTTCCCTTTAATATCTATATTAGAACATTTATTGGTATTCATAGTGATACGTTTCAAATAATGAAGAACCAAAATTCTGTGAACCAAAACGTAAGGCTTCAGTTTATTCTTTGTCTACTTTTGGATCTATATGGCATTAGGGAGCTATTTCTAATACGGCTATCTCAGGTCCAGAAGCCCCACCCACCTGCTATTCAAACCGTCTGTTTTTGAGGGGCAGCCAATCAGAAGAAAGCGTATAAAGAAGAAAGGAAAGGAGCTAAACTGGTTTGTTCTAAGGGACAAACTGAGGCCCTAAGGGCAAGTATAAACCAAATAAGGATGATTTTAAACTATAAATCCTGCAAAGCTGTTTTGGTTGAGAGTTGAACAATGAAAACAAGGAGATGGAAACGTGCAACTACACTTTTTAAGGTACAAAAACAAGAACGTGTCCAGTTTTATCAATACATGATACTGGTAGAAAATGTTCCTGGGACTTTATGAGTGCTGTTAATCTGCACTGCGTTGCTGTTGCTGTAGCTTTTAGACTGAGTGTCAGTCAACATGGAGGAAAGCAGGCGACTGTAGCCCAGAGAAGAGGACAAAAACGCTGCACCCTGCCGCCTCCCGCCTTCCGTTTTGCCTCCTTATTATCCCAAATCGGTAAGAAAAGGGTCTTTTTCTTCTGGTTTTACCGGTTATATTACAGGTAAACCTTTTACAGCCGCTGTTTGATTTCCTGTAGCGTCTTCAGCTACAGATTACTCAGTGTTTGCGCCTTGGTTTGCTAATCACACCGGAGACGAACGAGGAATGAAAATTGAATTTATCTGCCTTTTTCTGCTCTGAAAACATTAAATAACCGCCCTCAATCCTCCAGAAGAGCTTCTGTGGGTGGCTGTGGTTTTTACAGCGCCAAATTTAACCCAAACAGAAGCTCTGCGGCTCGCAGGAATCAAGCGCTGTTGCGGCGGAGAGCCGCAGATTTGCATGCGCGTTAATTCCTCAGCACCGCGGACAGCTCCGGAGCTCGGGCCTGTCTGGCGGCTCCGTGTCCGCAAGCCTCAAACACTCATCATCTCCTCCGTTTCCAGGTGATCACTCAACTGCACCAGCACCGGAGACACCTGAGGGGTAACAGCGGCCGAGATGAAGCATTTCCTGAGGTAAGGCGAGTCTCCGTGATTAAGATGGAAGCTGTGCTGTGGATTTGCATTTTGCATGGAAACGTGAAGGAATTCATCGTCACTCTCCTCCTTCTCTTCTCAGCTTGTTTATCCATGTTTGCCTTCTACCTGCTATAATTAATTATTAATAACAAGCACCGCGGTCCCTTTATTCCCAGTCCTCCCATTTAAGCTCTTTCCAGTCCATTATGACATTGTGTAGCAGTAAGTGGCTGTTATGGTGTGAATGGCTTTGAATGAGTCCCTTTGTAAGGAGGCCTCTTAATAATGGAGCACTCCAGAGGTGTTTCTATTAATAGTTCTGCTTTCTGCCTTGGCTTTTTAATGTGTGTTTTTTAAATTATGGTGGGGTTTTTTCCCCCTATTTTGGGCTCAATATTGACCAAAACTGGGAGAGTATAATATTAAAAAGCAAAAGTTTAATCAATGTGGGTGAAATTAACACCTGAGCCTATAAAGTCTTCAGGAAAGTGTTTAATGAGGTCACTGAGGAAGAGCTTTCTGATAGTTTGATGCAGAAGTGGTTAGCACTGTCACTTTGTAGCAAGAGGTTTAAATGGCCTGGTTAGTTTTCTGTGTTAAGTTTGTTGTGTGTTTTGTCCTGATTCTCTGGCTTATTTCCATAGTCCAAAGACTATGTCTACCACTCTAACTGGTGGTTCTAAATTGGTCTAGATGATTGACAGCTTAGCAGCAGATCAGATTTTGTTTGTCTTGAACTGAAGTTCTTAGGCAGACAGACATTTTGTTCTTTAGTGGAAACAAGCATCCATAGGAATCTGTACATATAAGGCTTGACATGTATAAATGTATTCAGGGACGTGAAAATAAGGAGGGGAGGTTAATGTCCATGAATACGATTAGAAGCTGTGAACATTTCACAAGCTGCTGTGAAACTGTGTTGGCGTAGTAAACGTCTCGACAAAGAGAAAGACAAAACACAAGGGGGAACAAAACACAGGTGAAATAAAACACCTTTAATGTAAAACACCAAATGACGGAGAAAAAAAGAACTTGGCAGTATTTTGGAGATAGATTCTTAAATGTTTTGCATTTAGCAAAGCCAGCAGTATTCATAACTGTGCTTTTTCCACATCTGTAGTCATCAATCTTTAAATTGGCTTTACCCACCAGTGCTCTCCCCCCCCCCCCCCCCCCCCTTGCCCCAGTTCATACCAAATTTCCCATAAATCCCAACTGATTTCCCAAGTGAATGAATAAATTTGTTGGAGAAAATTTAGCTTCATTAACTTTTAATGAACAGTAGAAGCCAGTAGAGGCTGCCAATGTTTTTCACTGATGGCTGTGTTTGCTTACAGTAATTATTCTAATGTGCTACGATGACTCTATAGTTTAGAGATGGAAATATGATTCATGCTTTTGGCTGATCAGAGTATTTTGAAGGAATTAACAGCAACACTTTAATCATTCTAGCAGCTGGGGACATCAGTTAGGGTTTTTTCTTGTGTGTAATTAAATCAAAGTGAAGTTTAATAAAATGATGGTGGGAGGTTGTCTCCATTGTTTTGACCGTTTTCACAGGATGAGCAGGTCTCGCAATAACCAGCAAACTGACCTTTATGTGTATGACTCAGTGGGGTAACCCTTTAAAATAGATTAGCAGGTGGCAAGTGTGTTGTTCAAGGACATTTTATTAGACAGTTCTGTGTATTAAGCCTGTAATTGTGGGTTGCTATATAACCTTAAACGCCTCCTTCACTCTCCCTTTGCTCGGTGTTTGCTTCCTTGAAGGTTAAAAAGCTGAGTGTCAGTACGAGCTGTTCAACATGCCAGTCTCATCCACAAGCTGAGAATGAAAGATGAATCCCCACGGACCTTTCTTACCTTCTATTTGTTGTTGTTGATACTGAAGATCATGTCCTACTGTGATCTTTGTGCACAAGCTGGATTAATTTCTGTCTGGAAAAATTGTAAATGCTGAACAAAGATAGAGGATTTGCAGCTGGATAGAAAAGAAAAGTTTTCAAGTGTACTTAAAGTACTGTGAGTCCTCCCAATCGCTACACAAAATCTGCTTTCTTGCTACCATTAGCTTACCTACTAATGCTTCCAATCCATTTATACATTGGAAATTTAAAAAAAAGTAGTAGACTCAAAAAAATAACTCTTTGAATGAACATAAAAAAATCATTGAAAGAATTTCCACGTAAATAAATTGCTTTATTTTAGCATTATGCAATTCTGTTATTCCAACTTAATGTACTTGAGTTAGACTAACGTGATTAATTAATGATGAATCAACTGTTTTACTAAGGTTGAGTCCAACTTAATTTAATTAAGTTGATCCAACCCATGCAAATTACGTTAGTGCGACAAAAATGCTTAATCGTAATAGAAAGCTATTTATTAATGTGGAAATCCTTTCCATGATTATTTTAAGTTCATTTAAAGAGTTATTTTTTGGAGTGTTCAACAAAGTCTAGAGTCTGGTTAACATAAGATGTTAATGGATTTATAATAATAACTCCATCCATCCTCTTATCTGCACCAGGGTTGCAGTGAGGCTGGGGCCTATCCCAGATGTGATAGGGTGCGAGGCAACAGTGCTAACCACTGTGCCACCGACCTGTCAATCTAGACTTCAAAAAAATAGGGAAGCTATGATTACAAGGCTTGATATAGAATTTTCTGTACGTTTTTGTCCTTTACAGGTTAAACCGCAATAAATAGCTAAGGCAGTGTGTGTATGGTTGTCTATCTCTTCTAACCGCAGTGATTTTCCTGTGGTTTGAACTCTTGTGTGATCTTGTGAATTTTGTGAGTCCAGGCAACTAACCACTCTTACTAGATTGTATTATGTCATCTCAACAAGAATAAATGAAGTTGCCGGATTTCATGCAGATCCTACATGATTTAATTACGTTCACCACAGAAACATGAAATTATTTTGTTCACATTACAAGTTTGAATTTTGCAAATGTAACAACCACCCAATTTCATTTTTTTGAGTGTAACAGTGGAAAATACAATTTTCAATCTTTAGTGAGAAAACCGATGGGGAAAACATTGAGAAGAAAAAAAGGATTGTGTTCAGGGTGATGTTCAGCATTCTCTGCAGACCGAGGCGGACGAAGGCCGGAAATCATTTATTCTCTTAATGGGTCACTATGCATTTCCCAGGACATTTCCATTTTCATTCTCAGCGTCCCCTGCAAAAATAGCACACTTTGATCTGCTGCAAGTCTCCCCTAGTAGACAAGATGTGAAGCACACTCTTCTGACACTTTGTGTCTTCCTCTCTGCTTCTGCATTTTCACTTCAGTGTCTTTGTCTCAAACTTAATGTGAAACAAAATTGGTCAAAAATAAATTTGTGTAGGCGTATTTGTGTAATATGCTGAACTGTAAAAAAGCAAAGAGAAAATAAAAAAATCATACCTACAGTTATTTATTATTTCATTACTCACCTGATGCCGGTAACAACAAATCCAATCCACACAGGCAAAGAAATCAAACCACAGATGCCCATAAATTATGTGTAATACTGAGAAATGAAGGTGAGAAGTTCATGGCAATAGCACCTTTAGAAATATATTACTTAGAAAATTGGTTATGTATTCAATACTTATTTTACCCACTGTATATAATATCTGTGTAAATTTTTAGGAGTATAATCCCCTTATTTTCTCCCCTGCAGAGTCGTGACCCAGTTCTTTGTGTTCCTCTACTGCAAGTGTCTTTGGCGGGGCCTAAAGTTTGTTGCCAGGAAGTTTACAGGACGCTGCGAGCTGCAGCGAATCTGCTACAACAACAAACATGGAGCCCGCAGGACCCTCAAGATAGGTATGACTTTCATCTTATTTGTAAAAATGTTTCGCAAACATGCATCAATGTTCATATTTGTATATGATTTGGTCATATTTATCATTCATTGATTCTAGTTGCATTTTGAAATAGACGTAGACTCCAGTTGTGACGCCAGTGTGGAAATGACTTAAGTCTGCATTATGTGTAATGGCCAGTGGGGGGCCAATTAGATTTCATGTATAGGAGTCTATCTGAATAATGTTTTTCACTTGATTTATGACCCCAGTAAACACCGTTCTGCTTGTGTTTGTGGTATAAATTTCTAGTTTTGAGTCTTCATTGATACAGGATTGTGTTCATTTTGTAAATTTTGGTCACATTTTGAGCAAAACAGATGATAAATAAGAGTTTTCTTTGGGGCATGGCTACCTTCAATTCAGTTTTATATAGTGCCAAATCAGCATGCACTTTATATTGTAAAATAAACAGCCTAAATAATACCTTGTGGTTGTCAAGTTGCTACAATATGAGGATAGATCTAATTCTGGGTTTTATAGTGATGAGGAGGACTCAGGGAACAGAACACATGTAGAAACCAAAAGAAAAAAACGCTTTAAGTAAAACAGGAAATAATCAATACATACACGAATACTAACACCAGGATGTGCAAGAGGAGGAAACACAAAAGATTCAAAGCTTAAACACAGTAATTGAATAGAGCGAGGCACAGACGAGAACACAGAGAAGAATCAGAATATAATCAAACCAACACAAGAATTCATTCATCCACTTTTCTTCTGCCTCTTACTTATTCAGTATTAGGTTAGCTCAGAGATTCATGATTTACATTCAGTGTACCATATCAGCAGTCTGAGGCATTGGACAGAGCATTGTTCACTGTTACTGTACACATTTGTCTTACTCTTTGCAACATTTCCTTGCAGAGTCATCTCTGAGGTACTCCAAGAATGAGGTATGGGGCTCTTTCAATCTGTCGTTATGCACGTGCAACGTAATCCGGGTTTATTGCTCAGTCTTCTTGCCTCAGTCCTTAACATGTGTTCCCACTCTGTCCTTGCCTCTCTCTTTATATTCCTGCCATCTTCTCTGCTCTTATCCACTCCAGCTGCTGCAGTCTGCCCTCAGCGTCCATCCTGATAAAGTGGAGAAAACCATCGATGACATCATGGCCTTGAAGAAAATTAACCCTGACACCAACCCACAGTGAGACTCTGCGCTGCATATCACATTTCTGTTCTTGTGTTGTGGTTAATTAGAGGTTAACAAAGGAAGCTAATCTCTAGAGTAGCTGTGAAGGACAGCGGAGAGTTTATACAATGCACTCCTCAGAGACAAACGGACTACCTGTCCCTTTGTCTCTCCAGGCTCGGCATCTCTCTGCAGGCCAGCCTGCTGCAGATTGTGGGCTACAGGAGCCTGGTGGCAGAGGTGGAGAAGCTACGCAGGGAGCCTTATGACTGCGAAAATCCTGAGCATGAGGAAATGCTGATGAAGGTATGCAGTCTCTCTCTGGTTGGTTAAAGAGAACAAAATATTGTATCTGTCTTCATGTAGTGTCAAATAAACTTCATGACTGGGGTCACTTATATGAATCATTACTCTTTACATTTGCTTGAGTTAAATCGGTTATCCCGTAGTTCATTTCATTAAATGGATGTTCTCCCACTACTAAATTAAATACATTTTTTACTATAGAAAAAGTTCCCCCTGTACCACTATGTTACAGTCTCGTACTTACACTTGTCAGGCATGATATTACACTGTAGTGAATACTATGCTGTGTTATAGAATAATAATTTTACTCTACTGAGCTGTGCTTGTGTGCTTGTGTGTGTGTTGTAGCTATGGAAAGAGCTGCGCCCTGACACACCTCTCACGGGTCGCATATCCAAACAGTGGTGTGAGATTGGTTTCCAGGGCAGCGATCCAAAGACTGATTTCAGGGGCATGGGACTGCTGGGCCTGCACAACCTGCTGTAAGCTGTCGGCCTGGAACACAGATTAAAAACCAGCCAAGCAGTGCAACACTTACATATGGAGATATACATGTTCAGCATGTCATTTAAGGACTTTAAATCAAAGCCAAAACTATAAATAAATAATTATAATTCATAGGCTACATATGCATATCCATGAACGGGAAGTTCAGACATGCCTTTTCCCTTCTGTTGTCTTTCTACAGGTATTTTGCTGAACACGACAAGGCTACTGCCCTGCAGATGCTCCATGATTCCCTCCAACCAAAGCACAAGTATGTTCATTTTGCCTTTCACGGGCATATGAAAGGAATACACCAAGTGGATTGGTAGAACATCTCTGCCAATAATTACAGATGTAGACTGTATATGAATTTATGGAGTTTATAGTTCATAGAAAAAGAAAAGTACAGAAAAATGTAACCTTGCAACAACAGAGGAAAGTGCACATTGAGCTATAATAGCACAAAGTTCAAGTATTAGTCAATGAAAAGTGTGTAAACTATACAGCAGAATCACAATATAACACATTATATTAGATGTAACCACAGTGCTGGAAATAATATCCTTCAGATTCAAACAAAGCATGGATGTGAGGTTGGTTTTGTATAAAATATAATCAAAGAAATATCACATCTGTTCGCTAAAAGGTCATATGTATGCCAAACAAACTCTATTGAAACCAAAAGTGATCAACGGTGGACCTAATGGTAAAACCAGGACAGCTTTCTGTCATTGACTAACAACTTAAGATTGATTTGATTGAACCCTTAGCCAATGTACATAGCTTGGGCAATTGTACTTTCTGTCTCTAACACTGACCACAATTTGAAAAATGAACTTTAAGTTTTACTAAATGTGACGGGACTCTGGCGACTGACTTCATATTTGAGGTCACACAGTTAGGGAACCGAGAAAGTTTTTTCCCCATACGTTTCAGTACAAATGGAAGTCTTTTTGCAGCCAGAGGAGTCGCCCCCTGCTGGCCATTCAGAAGAGTGAAGGCAATTCAGCACTGGCTTCATTTTTAAAAACAGATATAACATAAAAATAAATCAAAGCGTCTACTTACAACTACTTGGTGTATTCCTTCTACATTAATCTGCACTTAATCATGCATAACTCTGCATCTATCATACTCTGCTTGATTATATTCATTTTTACAGCTTGATGCCATTCACTGCCTCATCTTTTATTGACTACTGCTGCTTGTATTGTTTCTCATCGGCATCCCAGTGAGCGGTCTCATTTCCAAAATGAAGATTCTTCTTCTTTTTCTTTTATTTCTCCTCCACCTCCATTTCTGCCCATGCCTCCTTCTCTGTCTGTCTCATGCACTGTAGGAGCACACACAGAAAGCCAAGGTACTCTACTTCACTTTCATTCACTTGCCGTTTGCTGCGTTCATTGCTTATTCATTTAGGTTGATTTTTCATGCACCTAAAGCTGCACTAAGCATGATAATTTATACAAACTGAAGCATCGTCTTGTCAGCCTAAAGGCAGAAAAAAAGAGAGCCATAAATCAGCATTAACAGACAGTTTCTAAACTGTTCTCGGAAGATTTAGCTTTTATGCGCATTATGGTGCACTGTGGTTGCTGCTTCACATGTAAACTATCCGTGACTCAAGTGTGTGTCCTTCACAGCGAGGTAAACAAGCCTGAATGGGAACAGAAGAACCTTGACAAAGCGATTGGGTAAGTCTCACATGCACATGCAATATATGCAGACATGCACGTGTGTGTGGAGCAGGGAAATCTGGGCTGCTGCTGCTGGAGCTGTGTGAGGTTTGGCCTCAATACAGAGCAGCTTCAGCATGTGACGCTCACAACAAGCCAGCATATGCATGTGAGTGCGTTGTAGAAGTGTGTGGCTCTGTAAGCAGGAGACACTGTGTTTATGTGCTAATGGGCAGGAAGTATTTTACTACTGTGTGGCCTGCTGTACTGCTACGCTGGCTTCTGTTGTCAGTCTGCATTAGCACCGAATAGAGCCGAGGATTGTTGTGAAAAAACAAGTGCGACATCGCAGCAGTGTCTTTAATAAATAGACAGTTTGTGATTTGCACTGAGTGTGGACTTTGTCATGGCCGAGTGATGTTGGGACAGTAATCCTGTTAATCTATATTTTATGCCTTTAGAATTTTAAGTCCTTGTGTTTAATGTCTATGGTAATTTGCTTTCCATCTGTTTGAGTGTAATCTCCGTTCTCTACAAAACATAAAATCTTTTGTGAAATGGAAAACCTGCAGTCTGTTTCTCCTCTCCTGTCACAGCAGTCTAACAAAAAACAGGGTCCCACCTACTGACTTAGTAAATATTTTGTCCCCCAGGTATTCCTTTGCCATTGTGGGCATCAACATCACAGATCTGGCCTACTCTCTGTTGGTGAGTGGAGCTCTGAAGACCCATCTGTACAATGTGGCTCCAGAGATGCCCAGCCTGCTGCACTTCCAGCAGACCTTCTGTGAGTACATTGGATTGGGATGAACAGTATTTTATCTTTATTTTTCCCGTATATTGATTTATGTGTTTTTCATTTTGCTTAGAATTTTGAACGTTTCTGCATCAGAATTAAAAAAAGTTTTCTTTTAAAGTTTAAGGTTGGGGAGATGTTGGTATACAGAACTTGCATAAAATTGTATTTTAACCAAGTGGCATCTTCCAAAGCAGGTCCTTCTCCAAATACCCCAAGCCGAACATATCAATAATACAAGTTTAAAGCCTGGGACAAAAAACTGTTTTATTCTGTTTGGGTAGTTTCAACCTTTATTCCAACTGTATATCTGGGAACTCTTTTTATAACTAATGTTTCTGCAGACTGTTAAGGCTTATAGTTTTAACCAACGAGCATAATCCTTCTGAAACTTAAAATATCCAAAATGTACAAAATGTATTTTGGATTACTATTATTTTATTATTATTTGAATTAATCAGTTTGGCCAAAAATGGGTTAATGGACTTCTATAGCAGCAGAAGTCTATGGGGTCCACCACAGGTAGCGCCCCTGGTGGCTGTTTCTGCATTGCATCCACTTTTCTGAGCCAGAACTACGTTCATCTTTTAAACTGTGAGAGCCTTAACTGTATACAGTCATAGAAAAAAAATTTCTAATGTCCCAAAGTGGCAAAAAATTAAACCACATAAACCACATACATTGTTAAAAATATGTCATTGACTTTCAGCTGTTTGTTTAACTGTGTGTGCAGATTTGTAATTGGAAGCTTTTTCTCTTTTTTCCACCTGCTATGGTAAAAAAAGAGGTGTGAGAAAGAAACAAATCAGTTAAACTGTGTGGTGGAAAATAAAAAAGATGCTAAAATGCAGTACGAGGATAATTACTTGTGGATTAGCTGCACATATGTGTCTATTTACTTTCTTTCTTGGCAGGTTACCTGATGCAGGAGTTCCACCGCTTCTGGATTGAGGAGGATCCCAGCGACATCATGGAGTTTAACCGAGTCCGCTCCAAGTTTCACCGAAGGATCCTGCGACAGCTGAAGAACCCAGACATGGCTCTGTGCCCCCACTTCTCTGCCTCCGATCTCCACCTTGTCAACCTCTAAACACCCTCACTGAGCCCTTCATACCCCTACAGAGGTCTCCCGTCTTCATGAACCCCCACAGAGGTCTCCCTTAGATGTCTGGTAGGCCATCAATACATCAGAACCAGCCTCACACTCGCAGAGATGGTTCCTCCATCTGCTGGACATATCTGGGAAGGCTCTGTTCCATGTCCGCTCAGCCCAACACGTCCCAGCTAACGTCATGTTGCATCACTGCCAACAGCTTAACTCAACCACACACACACTCACACACACACAAACAGAATCTAACCTTAGACAGGATCTTAATAATTTAAAATGGGGACTTTTCCCTCAGACTTCCCACATTGTAAACAGATGTTTGATCCCCCCAAAAAAATTAAAAAAAGAAGTGCACACACATACACACTGCCTATCTGCCCTCACTGCAGCGTTAGACCACCAGCATCAGAGATGACCATAGCGATTGTAGCTGTGCATGAGGAGGCTGGCACCACTCCATCACTACACTCATTGTTGTTGCTTTAAGGACTCATAACGATTGTATCACAGCCGTTACACCTCAGTTATGAACCCTTTTTGTTTAATTTAATAACAAACCAAATTTACTTTATCAGCCAAAAACAGCTATTAGATAGATTGCGATGTATTGATCAGCAGTTTGGAATATTTTGACGGTTAGCGCACTGACTATCAGAGACGAAGACGTATAGATATATGAAAAGGTGTGATTTATGGGGCAGGGGGGTGTTTTTGATCCTTTTTGGGAGGGGATGAATTCCAACTAAGTTCAGGAGCTGCTGAATTTCCAGAAAAAATCCCTCTGAATCTCTATTTAAATTTCAATTTGCATCTCAGTCTCATGTTTTCATCTTGTGGACACAGCAGGATGCAATCAAACATAATATAAAAGTGTATCCCAGTTTTATATGTCATTTGGCCACACTTAAATATTTTATATCCAGTTAAATTGGAGCGGGACTCCCACACGATCTTCTGTCACAGTGGTGCTGTGTCTATTTCTGACTGTTTTGAAGTTGCATTCAGAAAATTACCTAGCAGAGTAGATAAATTCTGCCCCAACTGGGACTAAACATAATTCAGCAGAGATGAGATGTAGACCAGAGGAGAAAAATTCCCCTCATCAAATCAAAGTTTGAGAGAACTTTTGCTGGTGCTGTTTCAGTCAAACCATAAAGGGCCACTTCACCTCGAAACTCTGTTTTACGAACTGCCACAGATGGTGTCTAAATGACATCAACACCTAAGATTTCTCCTTGCCAAAATATCGAATGTGGAGCAGCAGCTTTGCTTAAATTTCATTTTTGCAAACCTGCTAAATTATGTTTATAAATATTTTATGAACCTTACTCGATGTGTGGCATTTGGCAGCCCTGCTCCCAGCTTGGATAGTAGAAATCTAAATATGTATGTTGTGAACATTTTCTACAGGTTTGCAAAAGCTTTTTGCCTTTGATTTGACTCCATGCAGAGATTCTGTTATGAATGTTTCTCACATCCACGATTGTTTGATTCTTTTTGTATTCATTGAATGTGACAATGTGTCCACTGTTGTATCAGCCAAAGCAATAATTTACACTCATTTCACTGCACATTTCTTTAAAATGTGTTTATTTGCACCATGCGTGCCTGAGTGTTTTGTTTAACTTTCTGACTCAGAGCTGGAATACTAATCAGTTTACACAAGCCACATGCAGAGCTGAATACAGGTGAAATGTCACCACATTAACTTTGAAACATTAGTATAATTACCGTAGACAAAGGTTTCCTCGACTGTGGCAGCAATTGCGCTGCGTTTAACAATGCTGGAATTTGGCAAGACATTTAAATGCAGAGTTGCTCCATAGGGAGTTTATTAAGTGACTGCTGCTAAAACAGAGGAGAGCTGACAGTGAAAGTTTAAAATGCAACACGATGGAGGTGTTGACCTGCCAGTCAATACACCACCTGCAGAGCTCTCACTGTCACACTGACCAAAATGTTTTTCTTTCCTTTGTGCTACCATCAGCAATCTGACTGATGGAGGCATCAGCCTCCTAGTGAGAGCAATAGGACGCTGATGGTGCAGATTTTTCATATTTTTTGTTTAAAGTTAACTCCTATTTTTATTAAAAGAACATGTTTAAGATGTGCAAGAATGACCTGAACAAGAAAACTATGAGAAATACACTCACTGGCTACTTCATTATGTGCAAAGTTCAACTCCTTGCTGATGCAAATGTTAAATCAAACACATGGAAGCAGCTCGGTGTAATTAGGAATACAGACATAGTCAAGATGACCTGCTCAAAATTACTAATTGAATTGGAAAAAGAAGACTGAGAATTATATTTGACGACTGTGAATTTCTGCTCCAACATTCAGATGGTAGGGCCAGCTGAGCATTGCTTCCATTAGGTTAACGTGTCATGTTGCAAAGCTCAAATCATCTCAAACTGGTTTCTTGAGCATCAAAACGAGTTCACTCTAAATAAATGTTGACTCCAGAGTCACCAGAGCTCAATCCAGTAGAGCCCCTTTGGGATGTGGTGGTACTAGCCAGGTGTTACTGGTATGAGGTGGCCAGTGAGTGGATCACAAATTAGCATTCAGGAAAAATGCAGTTAAATATTTGGATTACATTCTCAATGAGAACCCTAATTAACATTTTTAATTGACTGCTATTTTATTACTGATGTGAGAACAGATTGTAACATAACATAGAAAATAATTCCTGTGTAAAACACTGAATGGGATTTGTCCTTGAAAATCCAAAGCATGACCTTTATGCTAGCTCCAGAGTGCCTTCCCTTGCCACCTCTCATTCACTCCCAAATACAAGAACTAATCAATGCTAACTTAAATAGAGTCTACTAATCCTGTACACCAACAAAGGCTCCAACACACAGTACAAAAATCCAAAACTCATGTGGATTCAGACAGTACTTAGGTACAACTTTAGCGATTAAGCTAATAACGGTTAGCCAGCTAGCAGTTACATTAGGTAGCTAGCAGCGATCTAGGCAACCGTGGTTATGCTATTATTTTGAAGGAGTACTTCAATGATCCTAATCTATCCTAAATAATTGTCACTGGGACATAAAAACCTACATGGATAAAATCACCAGTCAAATCTAAACTAAACCAAAACAACGGTTTAAAAGCTGTTTCCCCTGAAAGTTACACTTCTCCATTACTGCTGTTGTAGATTTTTTCTGATAGAGTTCAATAAAATGTTCTTTTTTTCTTACAATGTTTCTGGGTTTAGTAGATAAAATAACATAAGTGTCGTTCTTCTGGCTAATGTTATGTAACAATGATATTTAGCAGTTACTGGCTTTTTTCTGTTTGATGTTAACATTAAGCCTGAAGACACCCAGGTTAATCTAGTAAAGTCCTGCTAGCCAAAAGAAGACATGGCCGATGTTAGGGCAAACCTAGGGTCAGCATCAGCAGGGAATTTAATTGATAGAGGGATCTTTATTTTAAATTTGATGACCCGGAACTCTTGTTCTTCAATTCTTGCTCTATAATTCTTCATTACGATTTCTTTTTTATTAAACTGTTTTCTAATTCACAAATAGGGAAAAATACACGGTCTAAACAACATGAACAAAACTTTGTACAGGAAATATTTTCCCCTCTTGATATTCAGCATGTGGACCCACTAGAACCACTGCAGCTGTCTTATTTGTCACACAGCTGTTACCTGAGGTCCTTTTGTAGAGACAGACTTGGGTAATATCCAGTTCCTTGTCTCTGGAGCAGCATTTTGATTTTTTTTAATCTCAGCTCTGAGCCACACTCACTTTTTCACCAAATGGTTAAAGCCCACGTCTTTTCTTGAACACACAACCACTGTATTTAACATGCTTTGACAAATGTACTCATCACATTACTGAAAGAAATACAACACAAGCATTAATTTTACATCCATGCTTGCACTGTTGATTGTGTTGAACAGTACTGAATACCTTTGTTCCTTTTGAAGTGAATGTCAAAGCTTTTTGTCAGTATTACGCAGCTGATTTATTTAGTGAATGTCAGCGCCGATTTTATCTCCTGCTTGCATTTGCTTTGCTTTACTGTGGTCAGCTTTGCACTACTGTAAAAATATAAATGCAGTTTTCTTTATGTTAATAAATTAGTAATTTGTGGTGTGAGGGCCGACGTGTCCAACGATACTGTAGATGAAGTTAGGCACATGCTGCTGTATATTCTGCTTTGAAACTGCCTAAGAGACCTCGATCTGCATGATACGGTCGCTGCTTCAACATTGTGTATTCCTCAGTAAAGTACTTCTGAATATTGTAGTGTGCTTCATTTGTTTGTGCTGTACTTTTTGAGATCACAATAAAGATCAAAGGAGAGTTAAACATGTAGTTGACTTTTTTTTGGTTGGATACAGTAAAAACAAAGAGCTTTTAATAAAGTGGAGAAATGCCACTCCCTATGGACTTACTGTTTCATAGAGAGCACTCACGAGATTAGCCAGAATAAATGCAACCCTGTGGAGCTTTTGTTTTGAAGGTGGTGTAAATAATTATTCTAGCTGTTTAGCTGAATATGGACATGAGGCAGGACAAATAATGGGCATGTAGCCCAGGTCTAACACAAACACCCATATCTGCGGCCAGTGTAGAATGTGAAGATGAATGACCCGCCTGCACATCCACGAGCTCATAACCCGACTTCTGCTTTCTAAGCTGGGAACAAAACATCGCTCCAACTTGGATTCTTTTCTAATATGCAATGGAGTCAAAATTATGACAAATATGTGCTGAATTTCTGCTGCTCATGCATTTAATTTCAATGAACAGCAGAGGGCAGTGAGGCAACATAAGAGAAGGCAGAATGAGCCGCTTTGAAATGAGAACAAGGGGGAAAAAATGCAGAAGGTGTAGACTAGAACAGATGATACTGCAGGGTCACTATTTGCATTATTTGCAAAGCATTTGCTAAACAAGATTACCGATGATTGTTTCCCCTAAACACGCTTCTGATTGAAATTAACGACCTGAAAACTAGATCAGCCTCAGCCACAGCCTCTGAGGTTGGCCCTGAGAAGTCAAACACACTGCAACCTAAGAAAATGCTAGCACAGCACACAAAACACAACAGAAGTGAAGCTGAACAAAACAGAAGTTGAAAGATGCTACATCTTCCTCCCTCACTCCTCCCTCCATCCTCTGCTTCTAGAAGTGACGTCATTTTCTCGGAAATGTAGTTTTTTACCTTCAGGGCCCCATCAGCCTGTAGTGGTGTTTTTAAAGGTTATGTTTGACTTTATGACTTTCTGTATTGTTTCTGGGATGCTTAGAAGTTATATTGCACTGCTGGAAATAGTTCATTTTGATGCATATGCTGTTTTTTTGCAAATTTGCATTATAATATTTATTTTCGTTTTTCCTGTAGTAAATAAAAATTGGTGTATTTCAAAAATAAAACTATGAAGACACTCAAAATAAATTTCCTGTGGTGGGAAACTATTTTGTGCAACTTTTTTGTATTTACAGTTTTGAGGCATAAGCCTCTTAAATTTCTCTAACTAGAAATATATTTTAAAAAAACAAAAACGATTTTCAATTTTTTGTAGTTTATTGCACTTTTTTTTGCAAATTATGTAATTACTATGCACTTAATGCATACATATTATTAAAATTTGGGCTATAATGGTTGTATTGATGCATAGCAACTTGGAATGCTCCCAAAAATGGCACCACAGCATGTAAAAATATAATATAAGCTCTGGCGGACTTGGTTCTATGGTAGGTCTTAAAGGGTTAAAAACTATTTACTTTGCCTTGTTTGGTATCATCCTTTTCAGCACAACCTCACATGTCTGAATTTACAGTTATGTTTTCATTTTGACATACTGTACTAACACAATTGATCTAAAATCAGAGAAAAAACATAAAGCCTGAGTAGAAAAAAGTAAAAAAGATTCAATAAACATGTTTATTGAATCATATTTCATAACTTCAAATGCAAATATAAAATGTCAATTTTAAAATTATATGCACAAGTTTTGCAAACAACAATGTTATTTGCACCGATTTACCTTTTACCCTTTTGTATAACCATCCCAAACTATTTACATAACAGTCAGGTGTTCTGCATTCAATAAGATGCCACACAAATTATTTGTGCCACTCGAAAAAATAATTTATGTCCACTATAAAGGAGAACATCACAGCCTGACGCCTGCAGGCCTGACAGCAGCAGGTGTATCACTCCCATTTTCATTCAGCAGCTGCCTCATTGTTCTGACACACAACACAAAATTATCCACAACACTACACAAGACAACACATTAACGGCACACACGCTAAACGTCACAAATCTCTCACATCTCAAAACTCTCTCTCTCTCTCTCTCTCTCTCGCTGTCACTCCTAAAACTTCCCCCTCTTCCCAAATAACCAAATGTCATGTTGCCATATCATTTTTTGATTGGTCGACATGGTACATTCTTCCACCAACACAAAAGGGATGTTTTGTTTTTTTTGTTTTTTTTAAATTTGTTTGTTTTTATTTTTTGGTCATGAGTGTTTGCTAGCGCTGTCCTTAGATGTTAAACGTGGCAAAACTATTGAGGAAAAAACACAGCGTATATATTGTTTATCATGACTCTGGGTTTTACGTAGCCTATCAACACAATTAAAAACTGGTATATATCACCTTGTTGCTTTGTCATCTTGAAGTGGACATGTGTTTGGGTTACCACGACTCGACTACTTTATGCTTCCTCAGTCAAACAGCAGCACTCATGCGATTGTTTTGCCCCCTAGCTCCAGGTGTTGTGCCAAAAAGTGATTGCCGTCCCCGAGAGCGCGCACAGCTGCTTAAAGCAGTAGCGCCCAGATTACTTACATAGACAGCTACTTCCTACTAATATACCACGCAGTAAGCTGAAGACAGCTTCAACCGCCTGTTTGTTGAAAAATAGTCACGCGACCGCACCGCATTTTCTTGTTAGTAACGGTAATGGCGTTGTAACGATAGAAATAGCTATTAGTTAGATTATTCGTTACTGAAAAAAGTAACGCCGTTAGCAACTCCGTTACTTGTAACACCGTTATTCCCATCACCGGTTATGACTAATAGGCTGATGTGCAGCATCGCTCATTCATTCATTCATTCATTCATTTTTTTTTTCATATAAAGATGCATTTTGTTTTAGAACTTTGTCCCAAACTATAATGAGGTATCAAATGGTGAATAAAGGCATTTCTGAAATGTGAGCTGTAATCTGAATATTTTGCTTGACTAAATGTTACACTAAACTCAAACTGGTTGACTGGCTGAGGGTCTCATGTGGACCAAACTGTACCCGAATGAACATGAAAACACTTTATAAGATATGCGGTTTATCTCACGTAAAATTAAAGCATATGAATAAATTATACACTGGATGTATACATGTGGGACTCTTGCATTTTTTGGTGTGACTCTCAGTGAAAATATCTTGTTACCGACTTGAAGCTCAGTACTGTTTGAGAACTTTTTGTTCCACATGTGGCTATTTGCAGTTGCTGGTTGATGGTGGATAATAGAAATAAAATAAAATTGAATAAAGCAATATTGCTTTAAAAGGCTTTCAAGTACTATGTGTTGATTATAAATAGTTTTAAAACTCATGAGCACATCCCTAACGCCCTGCTCGGAAGCAAAATGATCATGTTTCTTTATCTTCAGATTTTTCTTTTATTTGCTACACCTTTTTGTGTAAAAGAGCAGCTCGCAGCACTAAAAAAAGCTTTAAAGAAGGTAAATCTGTAGACTAAAATCACAATATATGGAGTTTGTATTGCTAGAAACAGTAATTAAGATTAGCTGATCTCTTCAGTTCACTCTCATGAACAAGCAGCCGTCTCCTATCAGTAACTTATGACACACGGAAAACAAACACTCCTGCTCTGAGTGTGCAGAGAAGATTAACACCGACACTATGATGTACAGTGTGTGTTCCACAATCTCCAAACAAACGCAGAAAGTCTGCAGACGTGGCCTTGTGTTGTTTTTGTATATTTACCCCTCTATGATAAAAGCATGCCTCGCAAGTGATGACTCACCACAGTCACAGTCTTGAATGAGCAGGAGCTGACCCAGAAACAGGAAACAGTGTAATATTTGAGTCTCTTTTTTATTGAAAGCAGAGAATCATTAAAAGTTGCTTGAATGAAGATGAGGCCGTGGAAGCAGATAATCAAGAGCTGCTGGTAGGGTAGGAAATGATGAGGAGTGAAGGTTGGAGCTGGCACAAATCTCTGGAAAAAAAAAGGCTTGGAGGCCCACTGACAAAGAGTTGGTCTGAAGCACAGGAGGTAAGACTTACACAACGATCAAATAAATTAAAAGGTTTAAGCCAAAGCTAAATTTTAAGTTTGGCGAGCATGAACGATGAAAGATGTCTTTTAAATGGCATCCAATTTATTTTTATTGTCACTGACTATGCCCATGTCCTTCTGTCACAGGTATCTGTCTTTCCGCTTAGTGAGTTTTTTTGTAGAACTTTAGAGCAGTTTAAAAAGCTGTGAAGAAACATTTAAATTATTTTAGAGCGTGTGGCAGGCTGCTGACTAACGTTTCAAAGCTTGTCAGCATCCCTGCTATAGTCACTGTGGAGTTATTTGCTAGTGAGATATGTCAAGCTTAAAGTAAGAGTTTTCTGTCTCATTAAACTGACTAAATATCTGTGATAATAATGTTCTGCAGCATTAATCTGCTTTATCATTTGCATCGGTGTTGCACTGTTACGTATTTTTTAACATGTTCTTCATAGACTTTTAGCATTTTTTTCATCATCATCTCGACTTTTCTGGTGTGGGCGGCACTCACATGGATAATTTTTGCAGAGTCATATGAATCATATTTTTATGTGCACGTGGATGGAGCCTGAAGATGAGAAAGATGCTAAGTATCACTGTGATACTCAGAATGGGGTTTTAGGTTTTGTCACACTTGCTAACACAAAGGAAGCTTGACTATGTTGAATTTCTTTTGTAGTGTGGGCTACCCTTTAGGTGCACCTGACCTCCACATTAAATGCTGCGTCTCCCAGTGCTGAAAAGTCTATTGAGGCAGAGGGTCAGAATTTTTAACAGAAATCCTTTGGTTTGTTAGAAAAGCCTAAAAAAACCATGTGTTTAAGATACTTTGTCCAAGAAGTGTTGAAACTCTGTTGTTACTGCAGTTAAATACAACTTATAATAAAATGGCTTAAATAAGAATAGAACAGATGGTCTCCCAGCTTCATCTCACATGATTTTGTCGGCTGAATCAGTAAAATATGTTTGCCTAATAAGCCTAATAAGTGCTGACTACGATTTGTGTCGGCAATCCACATTTTTAATGTGTCTAACACAGCACTGCAG